AGATCTCAGCTAGCACTGCTGTAGGTTGTTAGGGACCATATAAAACAGATTGAGGAACAGTCACTGCACCAGATCTCTGCCGCCTAAAAAGAGAAAGGGAAGACCAAGAGAGAGAAAGGATAAGGGAGAAGACAGAAACACCACGGAGTGAAATGGTTACCCAGAGTCGCAGAGCAGTTCGGAGTCAGAGCTGGGACACAAATTCCCATCCTCTCCCTTTCAGTTAAGCATTCTTTCTGCCGGAGTAATGAGAGAGAAATCAATCTGAAGTAGGTGTTTGTTACTTTGAAAACACAAACAGACAAATAGATCCACTATTCAAATATCCTTTGATATCCTTTGATGTAAGGATTCCTAGACTGTGGGCTGGCACTACTGCTCTACAGCTCACAAATTGCAGTCACAAAAAAAACCAGCAGCAATAATAAAACAATGGACAAAAAATTATCCAAACCTCAACATCCTAACTTTCCAAAGCTCCCACAGAGATTTCTCTTTTTTTCATTCATTTTCCTTCTCATACATTATTTCGTCTTTCCTTTTTTTTTTTTCTTTCTTATTTTAACCTGGACTCTGTGATTTTCTTTCTTGCTAGCTCTCTGTAACATGCTACCATACTACCATATCTTTTTTTTTTTCTTTCTTTCCTTTTCCCAAAGCTTCTCACTATAGGATAGATACACTTTATACTATTACTAAGAACAGGTTTCCACAGTAAGCTTCTCTGTGATAGCAATCAACTGAATTCAGGTGTGGCACCATACCTTTGATGTTAACTTGCAGATTTTGGTAGACGAAAGACTGCAGTATACTTTTCTGATAGTCATGATGATCGTTGTCATTATGCTTATTTTTAAAGAAGCCCGCAGAGTACAGACTAAAATACAATAGATTTGGATGGTGAACAGCCCCAGTGTGACTTGCATTGCATGACAGAGATGCACGTATTATCATCTAATGAATTATTTATTTAGTTTGCAACCTAAAACCACATTTAACGTTTCACATAGATTTTTAACACTTTACTGTGATCTATACTAATAGGAATAATATTTGAATGGGTTTATATTTTTAGCTCAGAAAATTTTAGGCCCATGGAGATACCACCCGCTGCCCACAGTGTGCTAGTCTGAATATAAGCATTCCCCAGCTGACATCTCTATGGGAATGCATTTGAAGGCATATACATTGTTTCAGCATTGCAAACTTCATGTCAGATCTGCTTGTTTGTTTTTTAAAACATTTATGACCTTATAACTATTTAGGCGTGTTCATTCAAAACCCTCCACATGAGTCTTAATTAGAAAGGGTTGGTTTAAAAAAATACTCCCTCATCCTGCCTAAAATTTCTGTCATATCAGTCCACAGACAAAAACAAATGAGATCCAGAAGTAATGGTGTTTTCACATTGAGCTTGCATGACCTTGCTGAACACTGCCATTTGCAAAGGAACAATTAAAACAAGAGTGACAATCTGCTAATCATACACAGTTTTATTTACCATTTTAGCAGTATTTTCTCAGTTTGTGGTGTTGCTTGAACACTAAGTGTGAAAGGAGGTTTTGTGTGTTTACATTATATATAACAGTATGTATAAGCTGGGTGCTTTACCACCATGAAACAATTTTCAGTAAGATAAAAATACATTCCAACCTTGTAAACATATTTAGAAAATATGATGTAGTATATGTATAGTGAATGTATATGTGTGCGTGTTAGTAAGTGTATGTGAATAATATATTACATATTTCTTTTACATAATATTGTTCTTAATGCATGTAGGTGAATTATGCATTGGTTAACAATAGAAAGGAACGCAATGCACATATCAAATAAATACAATAAAAGGTGACCAGGAGGCAGGAATTCAGGTGGCCTTGACAACAGCATTGAGAAGTTTTGATCATTTCAGACAAAGCTCTGAACAATAAGAGTTGAGACTGAAATTAAGTTAGGGCCTAGTGCAGTTTGAAGTCTTCATATTTCTAAAATGCAGTGCTATTTGCCTACTGTATGTGCTTTATGAGTGGTCACATGTAATTCTTTGCTACATACAGCAGGTATGCTAGAAGAAAAGTGTAAAACCTACAGAAATAATGTCTCTTTCTTCTTCTCCATAATTCATCGTTATTTTGAGAGGGCAGTAGGCAGCTCCATAGATGCTATGACGTTTTCCACATTGGTGCTGCAGCTGCTAAAGAAGAGGCTATGCATTTTGCACCTCATTCTTCCTGAGACTAATCTTGAGAAAATAAATAAAATATTTTACAATTCTTAGCAACCTTTGAACTCTTACTAAGTATGACTTAATCATGGAATTACTTTATCTACATCATACTGTGGCAGGATGTATTTTATAGATGACATGTTTAATGCTTGCTGCATTTGCCCATATGTTAGGGGAAGCAGTCAAAAAAGTTAATAGAAAATATATCCGGTGTTGAAGATGGTATGAGATCAGCTACTTAGTTCCTATATAGCATTTTAAGTCCATTATCGATACAGATTATTTAATTGCATTTTTAATGTTCCATCATAGTTAGTTGAGGAAGAGGAAGGTTTATGTTTATTTTACAAATACCGGTAAATTTTACAAACAGATACATTTTTACTATTTAAGAGAGATGCTTTGAAAGCTGTCCACTTCTATTACTGTACATTTTCTATTGAGACAGACTACAGAACCTGATAGTGTCTTCCATTAAAAATGAAAAACCTCCTTTTGGCTTCACTGCCAGGTTGGGTCCTGAAGAAGTGTAAAATAGAGCTGACTTTTAAAAATGTACTGCTGTTCTCTGCAGATCGGTGCTCTTTTGTTGCCCACTACTAGGATTCAGCTTCCTACAGCTGTATTTTTAATTGAGAATATGCTTAAATAAATATTTTATTTTAAAAGGTATATGGAGACCTAATATAGTAAAATAAAATACAAGTTACTGACTGTAGGTTATCTTAATGTTTAGGTATGGGAATTATGCATAGCGCTCATTAGCAAGTGTGCATGCAAGATAGCCAAAGTGCTGGTATATATACAAAGTAATTCTGCTGCGGAGGTAACTAGACAGCTTTAGTGCTGTAAATGTCTACTGTGTTTATTCAATATATGTGGGAGAATTATATGCAACTATAGCCAGTAGTAGCTCTGGCTATCCTGTACTTGCCGGATTTTCTTTTAACGTGGTTTACCAGGCCTTCAGTTTTACTGAGCTCAGTTTTAAAGGTTTATTCTTTCTCCCTTGGATTCCCATAAGCATTTTGGTTGCTCTTCATGCATCAGAGAAGAATAAAAAGTCTTTAAGTTACTCAATTTATTTTTATCTCTCTTCAGTGCACAAAGACCATAAAGAGCAAAGAAAATGCTGAAATCGTTCTGAGAGTAAGCAGTGGGAAAATTATCTACCCCACTGAAAAAAGCTTAGATATTGGGTAGGGAAGAGGGGCAGGAAAGTAGTAAAAGGGCGTACACCCCAAAAACTTAAAAAATAAAATAAATGATGGAAAAGCAAAAGCGAAGGGAAAATAGATAAGAGTCACTGTAAAAGAAGGAATCGAGAGATTCTACCATTTCCCATTTTCCTGTGCAGTTGTAGTAGAAACTAGACAACAAAAATTGGAAAAGGGTAGGCAGAAGGAATGAATTTTGCCAGCTGTATGTGATGTACACTTGCCTACTTTCAAATTAAACTTTTCTTTCTCTCAGTGGATAAGATAATGTTAGTGATGCTGCAGGCCGGTCAAGCCTGTGAAAATCTGGTGTACTGTTTCATCACACACAATTGCACAATTCCTGTATTTTCTAATGTGAATTTTAAAGACTAATTTGCAATAAAATGCTTAAAGTAAGAAAATCAAAGAAACTCTGAGATCTTATGAATATTTATTGATCTATTTCATTTGGACCAAAAGGAGGATTTCACTTGGACTTCAGGAATGGAGATACTGCTTGTACTTCCAGATGCATTTTATTCTAAAATGTTTAAGTAGTGCTTTATAATTATGCGCTGTGCAGGATTAATATGCTTCATAATGTGCTTTACTCACAAGGGAGGAACACTTTCTGTCATACAGGACAGCATAGTAAGCATGTACCAGTTTTTCTGTCTGTTTCCTATTTAAAAAGATGATCTCTGTATCTCTGTGAGCATAGATACGTATAAAATATTCATGTCTACAGTGAAGAAAGATTTGCTTTATATTTGTAAATTAGATGAAAATGTTTTGTCGCAGAACATTCTCTGGCTTTCAAATTTTTCTAGATCTAGCTAGGTTACTGGCTAGGTGAACTTATTGTTCCTTGTGTTCCCCCTCCGCCACACATATCTCCCTTAAATATATGCTCCTCACTTGGGTGGAAAAAAGGTTGAGAGAGACGTGCTTACATCTTTAACATAGTAATTGTTCAGTTAATCACATTTATGGGGGAAGGAGGCTATACTTCACTGATACCGATTAAATATCCTATACTGGGTTCTATATAAATAGCTACAAATGTGCACAATGGTTACATTACATGGTATATTTAACAACATAGCTAAATCAGAAAGTATGAGCTATGCCTTTAGTGATGGGAGTACTAACGATTGCATGCAAGAAGATTTTTGCTCTGCAACCATGAAGGAAATAATTGCTGTTTAGCACTATTCAGTTAAGTTTGCATATCAGTAAAAACACATGCACAGAAACTCCACCTACATTCTTAGTGCCCTGGCACTGATATGAGTGTAGCATATATTAAAGCATTGAAAGGTGTTGCAATGTGCAGAACTTGCAAAATGCAAGTAATTGTTAATGGAGTTAATTTGACTGCCATCAGGTGAAATGACAATGGTGATATTCAGCAGAGTTTTTAATATTTTTTTTTTTTTAATTTAGAAAATAAAGTACTATAGGTGGGATTTTACAGCTTTATGGGAGCATTAGTTTTGTTGCGATTTTACATTTTTTTTTATTTCATAACAGAAATTAGTATATAAAGGAAATGTTTATTTTTCCTATTTTAGATGGAAGACTTTATTTGAAAACTACTGTCATGTATTGAATTTTTCCTGCTGAAGATACCTGTGCTGCGGTAAAGAACTTTGCAGTAAGACATTCACTCAAAAGGAGTTCTGTGGAAACAAAGCGTTTTCAAGGCAACTTCCTCAACTTCGTGTATCAATATTCTTCAAAAATTTAAAGAATTCTGCAAGAGTGTCCTCCTCTGGTTATCTCCTGTGGCTCAACCCAGAGACCTAGAGAATGTTTGTAAATGTACAGTAGCACTCTTCTTACAGTGAAAAATCTGCATCTCTGCGCCGGACTATTGTATCCAAAATCACAGGCAGATCAGAACAAGGCTGAGTATTCCCTTTTTAAAGGAATGCAGACTGTCCTCCTCTGATGAGTCTATATTTGAGCACATCAAATGATCCTTCCAGCAGTGTCCAAGTGCACTGATAGACTGTTATGTCATACCGAAACCAGCAAGACAGCTCAGAAATGAACTTGTAGAGGGCATAAGAGGATTCTTAAAAAAAAAAAAAAACTAAAAAAAAAGAAGTAGAAGAAAAAAATTGATGCATTCAGTTTTCAAACTATGATCGTGGGTTTTCTTCTAAAGACATTTTTTTTCCACATGCTTTCCAAGAGACCAACACATGGATGTTAGACTACATTAAGTGAAATGGAATTTTGTGTAAGTGAAAAGAAATTCTGAATGTAAACAAACTGTTTTACTGTTCACAAAATCTCTTTTCCTAAAATAAAAAAATACAATAAAAAGAGTAATAATTTCTCATTGTAAACTGGCAGGGGTTTATGAAATAAAAGACTTTGCTTATTCAAACTGTTGGTCACATGTACAGTATATAACACAAATCACACAAGGAAGGTATTATGTATGCAGTAGAAATCTAGAGTTTAGGAAATGAAAATTTTAGATAATATTGTTTTGTCACCCTGTTGGTCAGAAAGACACCTTTCTAGTTTTAACGCATGCAGGCATGTAAATATTTGTCCTGGAGTCACAGTATTACTGAATGAGATCTTAAGCATCTGGTAACAAGTCAGAATTCTGTAGCAGCCACTTTTATTTGTATATTGAGCCCTGGTTAGTGCCCTGGTTAGTGCACTTTTAAGAATGGACTGTGGCTGAGCAGCAAGTCAAAATGCCAGAAATATTTTTATATGTTAATGTCATATTGCGTCAATGTCGCTAAAAAAAAAGAAAACCTAACAAACACTTGATGTATCAGTCCAATTCCACGTAGAACTGAGTGATACAGTTGAAGTCTATTGTCCCTCCCGCCTTGTCTTAGGGATGGGTGGTTATGTGTTACTTTCACTGTCTTTATGAAAGCTACAATATGTGTTTTCACCTTTGTGCTGATAACTGGAAGTAAGCTGCAACACAGTGCTTATTACATTACTAAAAGATTATGTTCTTTGCTTTGCGTACTTTTGGGTTACCCCTTTAAAGACTGATTTTGTGAATCAGTGCTATTACTGTAAGTTTTGTGATTATACTTTCTTCATCTTTAATGTTTTATGCATATAAAATATTATTTATTACATGGAAACATATCAAAACCTTAAATGTCTAAGATGCCTAACTTAAAGCAAATATTTCTTTAAAATAGTTCTGATTGGATATTAATATTATTTTGTCAAAAAAAAAAAAATCTAATGTTTTGTAAACTCTAGCACTGAGCTTCTATAGTTTGTAGGTCTTCCTTGCAATACTGGTACACACTTATTTTGTGCAGTTCATATGTACTCCACCACAATCCTTTTTTAACAATAGAAAAGATGTATATACAAGTCCACGTCATGGTAATTTTTTTTTAAAGAAATATTGAGCAATATTTTTCATTAAATATTGTTACCTAATACTTTCTAGTGACATTATTTTCTAATCATAATTCCTTCATAACTTTCATAGTTGCTTGAACACATATGGGATTCTGTACTCCAGTTTTTTCATATGCAGTCTTTAAAGGGTTAACAACTGTAAAGTTAGATGGACTTGTGGCAAGCTTTTGAATCATTCATATTTGAAAGAGAATTAAAAGCCTACAACTGAAATATGTAGTAGCATCTACCATTGCTCTGCTCCTTGCATAGAGTCACCTGTAAGTAGGTTTAGTAGTTTTACAGTATATACTTTCAAGACCTTTGGGAATGCCTCAGTGTTTGGCTTGGTACATAAATGGAAATGTTAAGGATTAAGGGGGAACCAATTTATAAGCTGGATGTTTAGAAAGAATCTTGCTAAAACAGTGTAAATATTACAGAACATGAGATGTTACCGCAAGTTGAATTTTTGCCCCTCTTTAGTTATACAGGTTTTGAGTTGTTTTTTTTTGGTTTTTGATTTGAATTTTTTTTTGCATAGATTATGAAGAAAAGTTGTGCTCATGTTATTGTTTATATGCTTTTGTAATCTTGAAGATATTAATGTCTAGTTGTTCTATATTATAACCACATTTGCGCTCTATGCAAGCCCTTGGAACAGAACATACTCATCTTCATGTAGGACCTATGAAAATTGTCTATTTTTATCTATATATTTAAAGTTTTCTAAAAATGAAAAAAGGTTATTACGAATTTTGTTGTACAAAATCTGTACAAAAATCTGTTTTTACATCATAATGCAAGAATTGGAAATTTTTCTATGGTAGCCTAGTTATTTGAGCCTGGTTTCAATGTGAGAACCACGTTTACTGTTATTGTATTTAATTTTCTTTTCTTTTCAACAATCTGCTAATAAAACTGTCTGAAATCTCCCTGTGACTTTATTTACAGTTCATCTTTATTAAATTTTGTGAAATGTATAGCATCAGAGGAATATTTACTTTCTAATGGGAGGCATCTAAAAACAACATAAGTCAGCTCTTTGTAATGTGAGGAGAACAATGCTGAATGATTTTATTTAACATGCACTGCTTCTATCTCTAATATGAATTACTGTGGTGAAAAACATCATAAAAGCACACTCTGTGGTTATTGTTTAACAAGCAGATTTTCCATTTTTTTTTTCTTGCCAGCTAAGCAAACTGCCCCCATCTACATGATTTATTTATGTACATTTCTCAGTTTATGAAGCTGTTATTTGTACCTTTTTCCTTTATATTGTGATATTCCCATGATTCTTATTTCACAAAGCTTTGTGCTGAATAATGTAAAGTGGACATGTTGACGGAACAAAACACATTATTTCCCCTAACTACAAATATGCAGGGGTAACCCAGTTGTTTTTGTCTCACCTGATAAAATGTTTCTAGAAAATTTAAGTATCCTAACACATTTCTTAACAAACAGCAAGTGTTTTAAGCTTCTAAACAGGCATTTGTCAACAAAATACTTTTAGTTTAGCATATCTTTAAGTGATATTCTGAGAGAAAATAGATGGGCTTGTTTTTTAGGGTAAAGATGGTTATTTAAAAACAAATCTGGAAATAGGATATTTTTGTTATAGAAAAAGTCAGAGATGTATGATTGATTTCGAGTATTCTTCTTTATTTCCTTGTTGTGCTTTCCCTATCTTTTTCCTATTTTTCCCTTCTGCTTCCTTTCTGCTTCCCTTCCCTTCCCTTCCCTTCCCCTTGCCTTCCACTTGCCTTGCTTTGCCTTTCTTTCTGAACCATAGCTACATAATTTCACCAGGGAGCAGGTTTGCTTGGCAAAGGCGAAGAGATTAGCTCAGCTGGACTAGCCCATTCCATTATCCCTAGATAGTCTGGGGATCATGAGCATCAGGCTTCCTGGATTCCAGTAGATTGTCATGTTGGCTAGCTGATAAGATTTTGGCTAGCTGAATGTAGGGCAATCAGAAGCTCCTTCTCTCTGCATTAAGATCCTCCACATGTCTACGTTAGCAGGCATGCCAGCTATGCCATGGCCAGCTCCTCAGTGCTCTGCTGATAGCTCTCAGACAATTAGAGCAGATAAAAGTAAACCCATTAGTCTCTCAGTCCACCTCTCTCTCAAAACAGAATGTTATCTACAGTAATAGATTAGCCATACCTACATGGTTTTAAGTATCCCAAGAAATAGTTTTCCTCCGCAGGCAGGAACCTGCCCTCATACGGGTTCCACCATTCTTACATGGTGATTCATTGCTTTATCACTTAAGCAGTATTTAATGTGATTTAATGGGGCTGGGATTGGATGGGCCAACAACTACTCAGATATAGGTACTCCTTCTTATAGTAAAACAAAGCTCTGTTAAAAAGTTCAGTATCAAGAAAAGGTTGCCCTATTTGTACCTTTAATTTGATAGCAGATTATGGTAAAATCCTGATGAACTTTGGAGTCATAAGGTACAAGAACTGGGTGGAAAATAACTGCTTAAAGATTTAGGAAAATCTTTGATGGAAGAACTGACACACGCAAGTAAAAAAGAAATAATGTAATATATTTTTCGCTATGTAAATAGATTTAAGGTTGATTTTTGACCTGAAAGATAAATCTCTTTATCTGTTGAAGGTGCTATAAATTCTTGAAAATTGCTTCATTTGTTATTTGCTTACATGTTACTTGACACAAGACTGTCCAATAAACAAATCCTGAGGCCAAGATTTTCAAGCGTGACTACTGATTATAGGTATGTCTAGTTTTGTGGGCCAAATTTCAGATATTTTCAATTCATTCTTAAAAAAAAAAAAAAGTTCTAGCTCAAGGGTTCCCAAGCCTATATCTGTGAAGCTTTCTTTTCAGTAAATACTGTCTAGCTCATCCACAAGATACTAGAGAATTTGCTAGCAGGCATTTCAAGACCTTTGCTGAGCAGGAGGAGCTCACCCTGCTCAGCAACAATGGTCCCACCAATGTCAATGTGATCCCATTCCAATCAGAAGCCTCTTCTGTAAAAAGCCTAATTTTCAAAGGGAGAGGAAACAAAGACCTTCTGAAAATCAAGCTGTTAAAAGGAATCAAATTAGAAGTCCAAAAATTTAGCAATCAAGAATACATGGAAACTTTGAAAACATTCAGCAACAGGTCAAGTATGGTAGCACTGTATTGACTATGCAATTGATTATGCAATTCAGAAGAATTTGCATATAATCTGTGAATCTGTGGATAGCATTTATGATTTCTTCATCCAGATTTTGTAGTAATGCTTGTCATAGCTCATTGAATTGGTTAATTAATCCCTAAAATGGGATCAAAAGGACAGAGTCAGATTCTTCACAGAGTGTACAGCAAGAAGTAGCAGATGCAAGAAAGGAAACTCCAACTGGATATAAGGGGAAAAAATAAAAATGAGAGTGACTAGGCACTAGAACAGGTTTCCCGGAGATGTTCTGGAAGCTCCATCTTTGGAGATTTTCAAAACTTAGGTGAAGGAGGCCCAGAGGCCATGTGCTCTAGCGTTGCCCAATTTAAAGGAGGGAAGCTTAGATGACCTTCAAAGATTTCTTCCAACCTCAAGTTTTTATGATTCTAGGACTAGCAAACTTAGAAGCATGATGTACTTGTACGCATAACACCCAGTTTAGCAAAAAGTAAAATTTTCTCCTGTAAATAGAAGTTTTAGCTGATCGAGAACAGAAG